GATTAAAAACAATTTTTAACAGCTTCTCCTACTGAACTTATTGATGAATGATCACCATTCTTGGGTAGTCTTTTAGCAAGTTTGCTCACATTAATTTGATTGGCCCCTTTTAGGTGCCGCTATAGCTAAAAAAGAATAACATTAAAACATTTTATTGTTCTGAACAAATTGATTGATGATCACCAAACTGTGTCTGTAGCATCTTAGATAACCTGTTATCAAATATGTTAAAATAAATTGTATTGCCCCCTTTTAGGGCCTCTAGAGAAAAACAATTGAACAAAAACCTTGTAACAGCTTCTCTTATTGAACTAATTGATGGATGATCACCAAACTTTGTCAATGGCATTCTTGGGTGGCCTTTAATCTAATTTGCATAAATGAATAAGATTAGCTCCTTTAAGGGGCAGCTAAAGCTAAAAATTAAGCTAGAGAAAACCCGTTATGCGTCTCCTTCTACAGGACTAATTAATGGATGACCAGTAGCATTTTTCGGTAGTCGATTTCAAGTTTGCTCATATTAATTTGATTGGCCCCTTTTAAGATGCCACTAAAGCTTAAATGCCCCAGACCAATGCATTTCTTTATAGTTCCATAATGAAAGAAAATAACTCATGTTGGAATGTGTTCAATACATGTGTACATGTTCTTATAAAAATTCAATGGCTTGAAAAAGTCTTAATGCCATGACCTGTCAGGTTTTCTGAGATCTTGAAGAAATGGTTTGAGGTCTTGTGCTTTGTATTTCAACAGTAAACGTATCATTGTCTTGCATTTAACAGGCTAAAATAGACGATACTGAACTATGGCAAAAAATCAAATTTATAGAATAAAATGTATTTCTGGAACTTTTGAGTGTTCACAAATTCAATGGAAACAAAATCATGTTCTTTTTGTTTGTTTTTATAATTTTCAGCTCTAGAATTTGGACTCACATTGCATCATATACTATTAATCTTTCTACAGGGTCATTTGTAGGTCAGTGAAGGAAATAAAATGAGGCATAAAGAAAGATTAGATTTGTTTCCTTTTCCTTACTAAATATTGTTCTACAAATTGTTGTAATTTTTTCGATTTTTGTTGAATTGGATCAAACTTTGAGAAAGCACATTTCAATAAATTTTGGGACACATTCATGATTGTTGAACCTGGTGGTTCATGTGCATGCGGTATTTTCACTGTATACCAGATAGGTGATTGTTTTTCACTGAGTTTAGGTGTCATGTCAACTTTAGCAGTTTTCTTGCTTTTGTTAATGTAATTTGACATTTTTTTATTCTTTGTGCTATTTAAGTATAGACTCACTTGGACAGATTTCATGGAATCGACGCGGCCCGCACAATCGACCTTGAAAACAGCAACAGAAACAGCGGTTACTTGCAAATGTGGAAAGATCTGCAAGAGTCAGCGAGGTCTACGAGGCAAGACTGGTCGTCAACGTGTGAGGCCCCGAGAACAGCGCTTGGTCGGTTTGACTAGTGAGACGCAAGAGTACACCTATCCGGATTCAACTCAGTATTGAGGCGATCACAGCTTACGAGACAACACACGATGCCTCTCATGACCCAGAGGTGGAAGAAGAAGACACTCTCCTAGACCTACCTAAGCTTTGCATCCAAGAAGCAGAGCAGGTAGCATGTCTAGACCCTGTCACTAGTCATGTGGCCCAAGGCATCGGACAAGACAATATGGAAACACCTAGACGGTGACCTTAATACTATCCTCGAGACAACCATGCAAGGGCCATTGGACTGGAAGCTACACACCCGCTCTATCTCTCTATCTAAGTCTACTCTGTAGCAAAAGGTTTGAAGTGAAAGAAGTAAAGGTACGAAATGAGGCTCCAAAACCTAACAGACGGCATTTTTGCATTGAGAACCTTAGAAAGGAGCTCCGTCAGCTGAAGCAAAGATACCGGAAGAGCTCGTCGTGAGAGCGACTCGGGTTATCTCAGCTGAGAGACACAGCACGAGCAGAGCTGAAATCTCTGAGGAAAGCCAAAAACACGAGGAGGAAGGCCCGGGAGAAAGCCAAAAAGAGAATGGCGTTTACAGCTAATCACTACAAGTTTGCAAGAACTCTACTTCACAAAGAGCGATCGAGTGTTCTTGAAGCCCCGCTAGAAGAAGTTGAAACACATTTTCGCGAGACCGAATCCAGCGGATGAAGCAGAGAGAATATTTACTGCCAAGGAAAGGAACTCTAAGAATGGCAACCAGTTCCGGATCTACTCATTACTCAATTTTGTAGGGAAGGTTTCTTTGCTAACCTTGCAAGAAGACCTACATATAACCTCACCTCCAACACGTACATCAACACATCCATCCAGAAGGGAGGTGTGCCTGTGTTTTCACACAAGCGCTATTTCACAGCTCATAAAAGAGGCAAAGGCAGGGAAGAAGAACCTCATAGTAGTTTGGCTTAATCTAGCTAATGCATTTGGTTCAATCCTACACCAGCTGATCTACACAGCCCTCCAACACTACCACGTCCCAGAGCATGTGCAGAAAATCATCACTCCATTTTTCAGTCAGAAGTCAGGGGGGCAGAGGAGAGTGCAAAACAGGCTAGAGCAGTAGAGATGGGAGCACAGGGGCATTGACTACACTACATGGAACACTATAGACAGGAAGCTGACTTGGAAGATATATAGAAGTATGAACCATTACGGTAATCCTTTCTTATCAGGTCAGTACATGACCTCTTACCCTCCACAGCTAATCTCAACCGGCGGACGGGACTTACAACAGATACATTATGTGACGTGCGACTGTGCGATCGTCCTGGAACTCTGAAGCATGTTTCTTTCTTCCTGTTCCGCTGCAATGACAAAGGGAAGGTACCGATGGCGTCATGACAACGTCCTCAAAGAGGTGGCTGACTGAAGGTAAAAGGAAAAAGGAACGAAGGAGTAACCCCAAACACTGTTACATCAGCTTTGCGAAACCGGGTTAAACTGCCAAGACACAGTCGCCACACGAATCATCAATTCTAGATGGCCCAACAGGTTGGAACATGGAGGTGGATCTTAGCAAGACGCTTGTGTTCCCAAGTATTTTCCAGACCAACTTAATACCAGAAGATGTACTGTGGTCTTAAAAAGGAAATTAACTCATCATGATTGAGTTAAAAGTACCTTAGGAGACTTGAAGGGATAGACGTTAGGCAACCTAGAGACTCAGCCAAGCTGCTGAGCGAGCGTCTAGCTGGCTGTGGCTGAGACGAAAGGAGAAGAGATTGAAGCAATCGACCGCCACACCGTAAGAAGTGGGACCACTCGCCAGCAGATATACATGGATAAGGGCCGGAATATCAATGACGGCGAGCACCATGATGATGGAGGTCGATCAGCAATCTAGAAGCACCATAAGCAGGAGATCTACAGAAGTTCTACAATAGGTGCGTTCTAGATTGTATCTTACTCATCAGTTTCAATTATTTCTATTCAGAATCACTTTTTGCAAACTTGGTTTGAATGATCACCATACTTGGTCTGTAGCATTCTTAAAGGTTTTTTTAAGTTTGCTCAAATTAAATTTATTTGCCCCATTTGAGGGGCTGAAAATGAAAAATAAATCAAGTAATGTGAGTCGATATGGTTTACTTACCAGACGAACAGTAACAACAAACTTTGGACATTTATGAAAGGTTCCTATCATTTAAATTTATAGAAAAAACAATCAGTGTTGTGAAACTTTATAACTAGAGAGGCAAACTGAAATTCAGCTAAACTTGTCTTTCTACAAGTGTATTTGAAAAATTATTTCCATAATCACTGAAAAACAGTTGTTTTTGGGGAGCGATTCAGGGCCATTATGGCCTCCTTGTTATATTTCTTACCACAGTTAGTTATTGATATTTGTAGAAAATGAGTAGCATTATAGGTGAAAAAGAAAATGTACATGCTTTGATATTTAATCATCATATTACTGACTACAGTAGTGACACAAACAGGACTATGTTGCACTACTGCCATGTCACATAACAGGTCTTGTAAGTCTTGTTTGTATTGTAATTTCTTTCCTTACCAGGTAGGCATCAGTGAAAGGATGTTTTAAATTTAATAACTGCCCCCCCCCCTCATTGCTGTATTGCAGTAACCGTTGTACTTGTTTAAATTAGTTTAAGCCAAGCTCTTCTTTTTGGTAAAATCGGAAGAAATTACATGATGTACTATGTTCTTTTTTTATAGTAAAATACCTTTCGGTCCCGGAACATGTCTTCTCCGAATTCCGAACGATTTTTCAAATTTGTTCTTGTTTTGCTCTAAAATTAACCTCCTAGATCCGAACACTTTTTGCCGGTTGTCACACCTACAGCCTTTACTTTCATTCAAAACGAATAAATTGTACATCTTGCAGGTGTCAATGAACATCAAACTAATGAGAGTAATGGTGTTCGATTAATGGGTGAAACGTATGATTTGCGAAAGTATGACAATTACACTTAGCTTGTTTTGATAACGACTGTAATTGTTTAATTGATTGATTTACGGCACATTCAATAAATATGCCAATTCCAATAAATATATTGATATTATGTATACGTGTAATTTTTATTCTTTTGTAATAAATTAATGACAAGCGAGTGAATTACGGCAAATAAGGGAAACTGTCAGTAAATTAGGATAACCGCCGAATCAGGTGAGAAAACAACAATGACGGTAGAAATATAAATTTAATCATGTCTCAGCCTCCTACTTAACGAAGTGTAGAACATACCCTTGATGACATAACATTTTTATTTATGTAGAATAATGCATTGCATTGTTTATGAATTTTTGTAGTCATGTGTATTAAAATGAACAATAAGTTTTTGTTAAGTTTGCAAAAATAAATTATTTATCTTCCAATTTCATTTGCATTTCCGTTTTCTTTCCTTAAACTTTTCTGCCCTTCACATGAACAAATATGCGAAATAACCATCTAAACCAGAAACCTTTCTAATCCGAACTTTTCTTCTGGTCCGGAAGAGCTCGAATTAGACAGGTTCCACTGTACCTTATAATTAAGATTGTTTACGCCAAGTTCGTCTTCTGTTACAGCAAGAACACTTGCGTTCCTTGAAGGTCCCTTTTCTATCACATAATGTCCATTTAGGTACCTAAGATGTATTATATAAAAATTACTTGCAGTATATTTAAACATATATATATATTAAAACTTCTTTTAAATGCAATGTTGATGTTGTGTTAAGCGTTGTTTAATGTGCGTGTGTGTATGTGTGTGCGCGCGCGTGCGCATGTGTGCTTGTTGTTTTGTGTGCGCGTGTGAGAGAGTGTGTGAGCGCTCGTGAGCGCTTTATTTAAATATAAAAGAAGAGAATAAATGCCTTAACTCTTTAGTGATAATGTTAACAAATAAAGAAAGCATTATTTCTTAAAATATAAAACATGTAGCTTGTAAGCTTAAGGGTGAAAAAAAGAAGATTGCAATTACCATTTCACAGTGTAAATGTGGTTTTCTAACATCTTAAATGAACATTTGAACTGCAGAAAAGGGTCATATTGATTATAGTTTTTCACTCCATCATCAACAGATTTCACCTTGTGTCGAACCTCTGGTATAACTTTTACAACGTCTGCACGAACTGTTGAAATGAATATGGTAAATGTCAAATAAAATGAAAGACAGATAGATTCTAACAACAATAAAACTGAAAGCTGTAAATTACTATGCATATTTTGATAGATAACCGGTTAGTTATATTTGACAATTTTTCAGACCAAACTGTTCGATATGTTTCAAAAGGGTGCTATCTTATTCTCACAACCACACTTAATTTAAAATAGATTTGATGGAAACTTAATGAAAGTAAAGAACGCCCAGACTGCAAAATTTAAGGTGTAATGGGCTATGTCTGACAAGAATATTGTTTAATGACGACAGACAAATATTCTTTATTATAAATGCATGGAATATATAAAAATAAAGTATAGGTTTAAATACATGCAGTATTAAAGGGACTACATTAACTTTTTTGTTGTTTTTACATGACCGGAATGGAAACAATTTTCGAAATAAATGTACCAATGTACAATTTGATAAGGTTTTTCCCATTAATTGTGAGTGACATTTCAGATTTTTCACTTTCTCCTTTTTTTAAGAATAATTATTATAATAATTGTGAACAATCAGTAGAATCGGGCTAAGAGTTGATCTATTCAATTTAAAATTCAAAACACTTTGAATGGAAAAATATTTTTTTTAAATTAATTGGAAATGCAAAATGAGCAAAATGCTTAAATAAAGCTTACTGAGACATTTATTTCCTCTGTAATAAAAGTCTTGTGTCAAATCCAGTTGTATTTTGCCATTGCATGATCTAACATAAACATGCTGATTACAAATGTATGATAGTATCCGTGCCGTTTTATGATAATAATATATATATTTTGAAAATTCACAAACTCTTATCCCCACCGCTACGTCACCAATGTCCAAGTATTGTTCATCTAATAAAGTAAAATAATATTGTATTTGTAATTGAAACAAAACAAGTGCATTGAACATTTAATATTATTAATTAAAAATATTGATGATAGGATATAAGGGAGATTATTATATGATCTATCAATAGGTTTGAAATGCGTTTCTCTGATTGGTTAAGCTGTGATTTTTCGTGACAAATAACTGGTGAATATCAGAGTTTATTTAATTTTACCCATGAAATGTGGTGCTATATCAGTCAAATATATTTAATATTTTTAAAAAGATAAATATGAAATATAAATATGAAAGTAGGCGGAGTCCAAACTCATATTTATTTTAAGGGACTTCTTTCGCCATTTTGTTTGAAAAATCTGATAAATACAAAACAACTGTTTGTTGAATTTTGTTTTGATAACTATCTAGAATGATAGAAAATGGTCTAACTAAGAAAATAAATCCGATCAATATCTTTAATTCAGTCATTAACGCTGTACAGACGTTTAAAGAGTTGTTTACGTGACATCACAATGTAGCGCTAAATATCGCGTGCAAAACAAGAGAATAAATTATATTACTGCGCGCTGTACAATTGCAGTTGCGTAGCAAGCAAGGGGGTTCGTAACCCTTTTTCTTTGATATTGAAATTAAATAAAAAAGGTTTTTTTTTTTCGTTTTTCGTGAAATATTGTATATATTTTCACGAAACATGATAAAATGCCAGATAGTTTCACTCGCCGTCACGGCTCGTGAAAGTATGTGGCATTTTATCATGTTTCATGAAAATATATTCCATATTTCACTCAAACGAAAAAAATCTCCTCTTAATATTCACTGTTTTTTTTTTCTTAAAATATATATTCTCAGTATATTCACCGTTTTTTGCTCTAAAAAAATTTTGTTGGAAAGCCCACAAATGACGCGTGCTATGACGAGACGTCACGCCATTGATTGTTATTTTCTGTGGAAACGTTGGGCAACACTCAAATGAAAGTCAACTAAGTCTTATTTAGTTAATCTACCGTCTTTACATGTTTTATCGAATTTAGCGTGCCAATGCACTTGTTAAAATGTCGGTAACAAATAATGGAAAAGAAGACATGCTGTCGCCTCGGTCAATATTAATTTTGTCAGTACATATCACATCATATTCACTAGCTAAAAAGTCCATATTTGTATAATATGAGATATATATGACAAGAGGTGCTAGGGTCATTTACTATATCATGTATATTGGTATGGCAATATTCTCCCATATAGTCCATCTGCAAAGTAATTAACGATGGTATAATAACGCAAATTGCAATTTTCGGGAAAAGAAAGCGCGGGGAAACGCGCACGTAAGTATAATGACGTCAGCTGTTCAACGATTACGCGAGTGCTGTGGAATTAAAAGATTAAAAGTTATCAAAGTATAAAGTCATCATAGTTGTGTAATTTTAAATATAAGTTTTTCTGAGAAATGACTTTCAAATCGAGAAATATAATACCATGAAGAACAAAACGAAAAAAAAATCTGCACAACCGTAGTTACCGGTTAAAAATGTAAAAATATATTATTTTTTGTGGGTACTACGGTTCAAGGTCAATACGGCACCGTGTACAAAGTATTTTCGAAACAGTATTTTTAACAACTTGATATATCAAGAATATTAAATATATATAACTGATTACATATGTAAATCATGTATTGCATCAAGCATACTTGTTTTCAAAAAGGTAAGAGTAAACGAAAAAATACCAAATTTATTTCACGCATGTAAATTTCAATTTATTTTACTCATGTGATACAAAAAACTTTATCAGTATCTAATAACGGATAAATAGTTTTTAGGGTTAAGTGTTTTAAACGTGAAAACAACGTCATAGCATTATTCATTGACATCAAATTTAATAGTTATAATGGTGTTTGTGTGTAAATACAAACACAAAACATTTTGTCATTAAAAATGTTTTTGATTTTTAGTTTAAACAAACAACTGTGTTACCTTGACTATATAATCCGAACCCGCCATCACCGTAACATACTGCAGAGATGGCGTCTATGTCTTTTAGCAAAGGTATAGTGTAGTTTTGACCGTCATACATACTGTCATACCAACCAGATTCAGTTATAGAAAAATCGATTTTAACAAGTTTTGCACTATTGTTCAGATATTCTGCTGGCAATTCTAGCCCTGGTGTTGAACAATCTAAAAGTGTATGCTGGACAATGAAATTGAATTGAATAAACACGTTGAATTGACTTAAATAAACATGTGTTTATAAGCATGTTGAGTTTTATAAGAAGAGTCAACAAAATTGATGGTCTGTTGCTTCTTCTATACATATACATCATATACATTATTTCTATTGTAAATGTCTTTGTTTTTGCTACGTTGAAAAATATGTTGTAAGATTATGAAATCACAAATAGAAATCACAAGTCTAATAACTAAAAACAAAAGAGCAATGGGCACTGTTAATCTCTATTTACAATGCTGTTTTGTATTTTACCCGAGTTGGGTACGCCCGCTAAGCCCAATGGGGAAAGCTTCGAATAAGGCAACAAGGGATTGTTCGATCCTCGGTCGAAGAATATATTCTCTATGACACTTGATCTTTAACAGTATGTCTAATGGTCTTTCTTTCTTCTAACGCTGACTCGAAATTATGATGAATAAGAAATAAGTCACTTGCTGAGAAATCTTAAATTAACTGGATAGTTTACCATGAAAGCCTGCCGTACACTGACCATAAACATTTTGAGATTTGAGACAGTGCTCAGAAAAAATGTTTAATATCCCAAAGGACAATCAGTGCGGCGTATGTTTAAACCATACTCAATAGTTCAGGAGATAGGAACTCTGGTTACTTCCTTATTTCAATTTATAGCCCATGTCGCCATCTTGTTCATCAAATTGCGTCGATTTTAAAGACGATCGCGTAAGGATATGCCTTACAATGGGTTTCATCTATCAAACGGTTGAAGAAATGTCGTTGAGTTTTATTCTTTTGTTATCTCTGCCGAGCATTGATTATCAGTTGACTACGAGATACAAAATAATATCTTGTTTAAAGTAGAACTTAACGCTGGGCACGAACTACATAATTATATCGACGGACAAGCTTAGATCATAAAACTAAAACCTGTGCTCTTTAGATTTTGACAGACGAAACTTTCATATGAACGTAATAAAGCAAATATTCATGTTATACTTACTGCTGTAGTATATTCTATCTGCAAGCAAAGAAACATATGCGTTATTTAATAAATAGAAAACTGCTTTCATGAAGTTGTTATTGGTCATACTAACACAATTTTACTGTAATACTTGACGCGGTCCAAAGGAAAGTAAAGTATATTTCTTACATTATATAAGATCATAAGAAATTGGACAACAAATCAATAGCGTAATGAATTAAAAAGCTCATCATGGCGCTATATTATTGAACTTTGTTTTTACTAAATATTATTGCATGTGAATTGTAAGTTTTTACAAGGAAATGCTACATACCGGATTTCCGGGCATTGTGGTTTCTGAGAATAAAACTTTTAGTAATATAAATATTGTTTATTACATGCCAAAGCAAAGGTCTGTTGGCGAGCAAATATTTGACCAGAGAGGAAACTTTGTAACTTTTGTTTATCCCTAAAAGGCTATTATATATACCAAGTATCTCAACTCTTGGATAAGAAATGTTTAAAAGATTGTTATACCTTCTGTTCATATAAAGTTTCTGTGACAAAATTTGAGCATCAGATTGGGACTATTGACATAACCTTTTAAAACGCCAACCTTAAGATCAATTGTAAGATGTGATTTTAAGTAGCAGAGCATGTCGTTAACAAAAAGGTGCTGTGAAAATGTATACAACAACAGAAAAACTGACAACCGCAAAAGCTAAAAATTTTAACATGCGTAACTACATTCTGTATGGTCGTACGTAAACCAAAGACAATCTATGTATACTATTTAACACCATTGTTCGTTCAAGTTTTAGACAACTCGGATTGCTGTCTAAATTAAAACACATTTTTGTAATGAAATTATTTCTGACATATTGCTTAAAGTTGACTGAATCATTTTAAAGATAATTAAATATTGATATAAAATTATGTTTTTGAAAATACTTAACGTACCAAAGCAGATATAAACATGCCCTATGTATCCACTTGACCATATTTCATCGTCTGCAAATTGATACAGTAAATCCCCATCACAATACAAAACATCTATAGTTGTGTTTCTTTCACATTTGCCGCCTTGAGACATAATGCAACCTTGCAGTGCAGTTAAATTGTTATTGAATTCAAGTTTATCCTTATGTTCATCTAAAATTTAAAGATATTAATTAATTTCATGACAACACATTATAATATTATATATTTTATTATTATAATTTTTATAATTTCATTGACTAAAACACTTCAAATGATACTTAGATTATATGCCAGCATTAAGTTCAAAAGGAAACCGGCTTAGATAATGTAACATTTTATGTAGAACACGATTGAATCGAAATTTTAGCTTTTAAATGTTAAAGAATAATTATGTGTATACGCTCTACGTCACTCTATATGGCTATTTGTAATCAATTAGTCGTCCTAAACAAGAATTTGGTGCTAATACATGTATGTATACGTAATGAGCAAATACCTGTAAGGACTAGAAACTGGTCGTCTTTAAATCTATTTTTGCAATGAGGGCCAATGTTGCCTTTCCAGGCAACACGCATATATCCGTCCCAAAATGTTGTGTTGTACCATAAATAAGAATCAAACGGATACAAGTCATCATACCTTGCGCCACTGTATATTAAAGAGCGATGATGTAAAACGTTTTCGCAGACTGTACCTGCAATGGATATCATAAAGTTCGGACGTTCACAAAGTGTAATGAATATGTAACAATTGATTGAGAAATATACCTTATACTTCACGTGATTACCTCCCATTTATATAATTTCGCCATTTGTATCAGGAAAAAGATAACAACTAAGGTGATTCCGCTTTGTCAGCAATATTTGTTTTTACCAATTCTGTCCAAAGTGAAAGAAGGCCACAATTCATATAATAACAAAGATCACAATGTAAAATGATGAGCCATTTGCATGTACACTTCCAGTTCTATGTTTTAAGGACTATTTTAAACAAAAATGAAAATGATAACAATAAGAAAATTTACCTTGAATGTGCTTAATTTCTGAAGTACAATATGTTGTAAAGTTTTATGCACATTTCATGAATGGCAAAATACAGTTTATAGTCAGTTTTAGTGCAGACAAATGCTAGTTTTTGCAGAAAACACAATAAACTTGCAAAAACTTAAATCTTAGGAAAGTAATTTATCTGACCTTGTAAAAACATGGCCTCCATGCCATGTGTAAAAAAGAAGTAACATGAAAATAAACATCATTTACCTATTTCTAGTGTACATGACAAACACACACATACACTTCACTGTTACACAATATAAAGATTAGATTTTAAAGTCTGATTGTGTTTTCATTTTAATTGTAGTTCATAAGGCTATAAATCGTGGTTGTCTTCTTGCACTACTTTTTTACAAAAAAAATAATGGAGGCCATGTGCTTAGAAGGACACTGATTTATTTTGAACTAAGTTTTGAAAGAGTTTTGTATTTGCTGCAAAAAATAGCATTTGTTGGCACTAAAACAGACTTTAAAATGGATTTTGCCATTCATGAAATGTGTATAAAACTTTGCAACATAATGTTCTTGGTCTTCAGAAATGTAGCACTTTCAAGGTAAATATTCTTACTGTTATCATTTTTATTTTGGTTGATAATTGTCCTTAAAACATGAACCTTGAAGTGTACTTTCAAATGGTTCATCATTTTACATCGTCAGCCTTGTTATTATATTAATTTTGGCCTACTTTCACTTTGGACAGACTTAATGAAAACAAACATGGCTGACAAAGCGGAATCACCTTAATCCATTATAAATTTATCAAGATAGAAGGAGTATACATTTTAGTTTTTTTATTGTGAAATAGATGGAGTGTAAAGCTGCGGTCTCAATTACTCCTGGCAAAGCCAAGGACCATCCCGGTAAGTAGCCGGGTTGATCCGGGACGATCCGGGGTGAAATTATTGTTGCAGTCACACTTACCCCGGTAGCACTACGGTTATTCCCAACTAACCACTACCAGGAATGCGCTCCAGATCATCCAGGCAGAGCCCAGATGAAAGTAACGGTTCATGCAGGTGCTTCCCGGTCGTTCCCGGATGACGCCGGAAGAGCCCCGGTTGATCCAGACAAAGCCCCGTTCGATCAAGGCAGAGCCCCGGCAGAGCCCATGACGATCCAGACAAAGCCCCGGTAGAACCCCGATGGATTGAAAACGCGCGAAAATGTTAATATTGATACATAATGTTTATTTAATATAATATATATTGTTCCGTTCCAGAATAGTAATTCATGATGATTTTCTGAAAAATCCTTATGCAAGACTGAATAGAAGGGAAATGGGAAGGGTTTTAATACAAAAAAAGTGCAATCCTCGCAAATTGTCGTGATTCTTTTGAACAGAACCGTGCTTTGCCGGGGCTCTACCTGGATCAACTGTAGCTCCATCGTCATCTTCCTGAGCTCTGCCGGCATCCTCCGGGGCTCTGCCGGCATTTACAGGGCTCTGCCAGCATTCACCGGGCTCTACCGGCTATGTCATACCCAGGATCATCCCCGATTTGTGCCGGCAGAGCTACGGTGCTTCCCCGGTTCCCTGGTGTAACCCCGGTCGTTCCCGGCAGAGCTAAGGATGAAGCCGGCAAAGCTTTACTTCCCGGATCATCCCGGACCACCCAGTTGATATTAAATATTTTATTCCATCCGGGGTCGAATGCCGGATGTTCCCGGATCATCCCGGATCATCCAACACGTTGCCGGCAGAGTTACGGATGTACCCCGGTTGTTCCCGGTCGTTCCCGGATCACCCCGGACATACCTTGCGCTACTGTATATTTAAGAGCGATGACGTAAAACATTTTCGCTGACTGTACCTGCAATGAATATCATAAAGTTCGGACTTTCACAAAGTGTTATGAATACTAGGGCACTGCCGGGATGTAAGTGAGACTGTAGCTTTAAGTTACGGTCTCACATCTCGGCAGAGTCCCGGTAGACATCCGGGATGATCTGGGGTACGACCGGGAACATACGGCATACATCCGTAAGTCTGACGGCAACGTCTGAGATTATCCGGGAACATCCGGTATTCGACCCCGGATGGAACAAGTTTGCTTTCGAGAGGTTTTTTTGCAAAGATTAGTTTAATTCGAAAATATTTGGGGATATTTTGCATATAAGACACAATTGGTTATAAATTACAATTATTTAACAAAATACGAGAATGTATGATATATATTGAATATAGTATCATAATTAAAGTTTGTTTCACACTTTTTTTTTTCACACATTTTTTTTAATGTTTTGAAAGATTATATGCCAGAGAATGGACTTTTTCTTGGCGCATTAGGGATACTTTTTCTACAATAGGACAATTTATGTTATGTCATCAAACTAAATTTAAAATAAATGATAAATTTATATTTAAAAAAGTATCAAAATAAAAGTTTTTTGAAAAATAAAATTAAGCAAATTTTCGGTTAATGTTTTGTTAAGTATATGGAAATATTTCCTCTACATTTTCCAAAACGGGCATTAAGTATGTTAATAAAACAATTGAAAGTCCTAGATTTACATAAAAAATGTTTATATCCTTTTATTGGAATAAACAGTATTATATAAGGCTCCCACGTTTACAATTTTTTGTACACGTTTACACGATTGCTAAGAACCGAAACGATACCGTTTAAACGGTGGTACCTCTATGTACTATACACACCATGTATTTGAGTCGCCAAATGATGTCTTTCTTTCTATTTTTTATACATGTACAAATAAAAAATGTGCAGGGCTCATCACGATTGAGTCAGCACACATTTTTTGCATTGTAACCCCATTTTTTTCCAAATATGTATTATGTCGCTAGCAATTTTGCACCGTAATGCTATGTGGAGGGTTGTAAACACCTATTTTCCGTATGTTTTCTTTGGAATAAACCACTGGAATTGATAAAATCCATGATTACAGGCAATGATTAAGAAATTGTGTAAGACAATATGGTCATTTCGATTAAACGGTAAACAATATCGTAAACGTTTATGAATGAAAATCGAAACGAATCCGTTTAAACGTGTAATCGTGGGGGCCTTAACAGTATAGAAAGCTGTATGCCTCCAACCACAATATTTGAAGAAAATCAAACTTATGTAAAATTTGTGCTATTTGTGCCAAGAAAAAATCTCCGTTGCTTTATTTAGTCACACCGGTTCAATAGTTAAAGGAGCAGCAAACCTTCGGCACACTGTTCAGTCGGTCATATAATAGTGCATTTCATATTGTACCCACAATGTTCACTGTTACTATTTATCAGAACGTTGTTCAGAAAACAATACGCTAATCGATTTATACCGTTTAAAATATTATAAAACGGAATGAAACT